GGTTACATGTTTATAAATTTAACCCTGAAGAGTCCGTTAACGCAATGTTGAATGGTGTACACCTCCCTGTAAATGCGCACGGACACATTCAAGACCAGATTCTCTTACGATCTCGCGAATTGTTCCTGAATGAGGTTGTCACAAGGAGCCATAGTTTTCAAAAACAAAATAAAAGCGCGCCATACCCGTAAGAAAAAATACCACCATTTTTCTGGTGCGACTATCCGTGTCCATCACGCTATGCGCTCAAGATTCGGGTCTTTACTTGAAAAGACTTGAACATATATGCTTGAAAGCGTGCGAAAATTCAATTCTTTAATTGTATGTGTGATAAAAAACTTGAAGTAACTGAGATTCACCGGGGACCGGGTGATTGATCCGACTGCATCAAAAATGGTCGATGACTTCCGCACCACTAGCGGCTCGATATCGAACCACCCCGCCCCTCTTCGGAATGCGACGCGTCGAGGATTCCTCAACGCACGCTTGACCCTGGTTATAATTAGTGACAACTGGTAGAATACCACCCAACAGGTAACCATTTCACTGGCAGAAAACATTTACATTGTGAAGGCCGTCGTCTCTTGTGCTGTATGGTCTGCACACGACGCTCTTCTCGTCTTTCAAAGGGTCTCAGGACATCTGTCAACCGTGAGCCTTGGCGGTTCAGCGTTTTGTAGTGATGTCTGGGAGCTCTCACAAGTGCACACTATCACAGCATCTCTTTCTTTATCTTCTTCAAAAGGCTTAGTCCCAATAAGACACAAAGTGTGTGCTTTTCCAGCTACGCTCTCACCCTTTGGTTGACAGAAGCCTTGTAAACCGCGCGTCTTTCGAAAGGAAGGATAGGTTCGCTGTGAATTCAAGTGCGCTATTTCTTGGGTCGCACAATTTTATATTGTAGTGTTTATGACGCTAAAATATTGAATCGGCAGTCAGAAATTGAGAACACAACAGAAAATTCATAACAGTACAGCATCATTTGGCCGTCACGATCTTCCCCCTATCGTGTCCTCCACTGCTCTTTCATTCATGCTTACTTTCTCGGAATTGCGCGTCGTACACATTATTATTCTCTTTTCTGTCGTATGGTGTCGATTGCTGTCGCTGTCGTTTGTCAGCGCCTCTTGATTAATCTAGTGGGCAGTGTGAGCTGACTGCGCTCACTGCGTTTGTTGGTTTTATATATATTTTATACAGAATAGTATTCGGTGTGGAAATTTTCAACAGTTTTTCTGTATATTCTGAAGGTACAGGGTAATCTCACTACCATCGACTGAAATTCATTAGCTTCTAATGCTCCAATGTTTAAAAAATGTTAAAACATAATTTTCGTATATGTAGTTTAACTGCGTAGATTACAATCTGTTTAAATTATCTATTGATTGATTAGTTGGTCCTTTTTTGAATTAGAAGGTACGGTTTTATATCTTTTCTTTGAAATCGTGTTCCACGATGGCTTAACGTGAATGGCTAATCGATTTTCTTTTTTTCAATTGATCGCATACTGGTTTCATAACGATGACTCAGCAAGTTGTTCGTGGCGCTGTTGTCCACCGATTTGATGGCTTCGACGCCCAAAAGCGGTCGAAGTTACCTCGAAATCTTGGTCGTGATGCCTTCCGCTCCCATCGATTTTGGGCTTCGTTCCAAAGTAACCCCAGCTGTGACTCTGTTGAAGCTCAGATTTATGACGTTGGTCTATTTTCTGAGCTGCTATGGGTGGGCGTTACTAATAGCTGTCTTTGTCACCCAATGATTTTTAGTATGCACTTTCACTGTGTTCACTGGTCGTTCTTCGTTCATTTTCTCCAAGGGTTGGCTGTCCGAGCCAGGCGGCTGGATCGATTTTCACGAAGGGTGTGGTGTTTGCCGACTTTTATCCAGCCGCTAGCCGTTTTTCTCATTTTCTGCCATGTCTCTCTTGATATCGTTCGATCCTTTGTAAAATGCCATCGTAGGCTTCTTCATCGATTTGATGTTCATATGAAATAGAGCTGAAAAAACATAACGAACAACTCTTTATAGTTACTCGAGTAAAATGTTCTCTGAACCATGAGGTAGGCTTTCGCTTTGTTCTTTGGCAGTTTCTGCTGCACTTATGCGATGCGCGTGTTGTTATTCTGCTCCGTAATATGCTTTCCGGAAAACGAATTTGTTGTCAGCGCTAGGCTGGCACTTGCTCGTGACTCGCTTTTGAGGAAGACTCATGCGTGACGTAGTTATGAGCCGGCCTTGAGATCTTGTTTCTGAAAGGAAAGGAAGAACTGCGTGCTGGCATGGCATTGAATGCGATTGAGTTTGCTTCCGACATTTTTCCGGGGTTTTTAATCCGGTTACAAGGCTTCTGTCAACCAGGGGGTGAGAGTGTAGAAGGAAAAGCAGACGTTCTTTGTGGTAGTGGGACTAAGCCTTTTGAAGGAGGTAAAGAAAGCGGAGATTCTGTAATAGTGCGCTTGTGTGAGAGCTCCCAGACAGCACAACAAAACGCTGAATTGCCTAGCCTCACGGTTGACAGATGTCCGGAGACCTTTTACATCGTTGCGGTTGGTATGTTTGTAGTCAGCTGCGAGCTGATTTTATGGAGAAACTTCAACATTTCTTGTGTGAGTAGATTAAGAGTGATACGTAAGCGTAAGGGAAATTCCATGGTAACACCTCCTTGATGGAGAGTGTCGTCCATCTAGCACCTTTATTGAATATCGCTATCAGTCATGGTACGACCTGATACGAAGTTGAAGTGCGTAAAGTATTCTTCTTGACCACCATAAGTGATATTCTATCGTAGCCTGTTGTAATGAAAACAAATAGGCTGTTTGATTACCAACTGAAGTTGCTCAGTAGCTATTCAGTCATTTGCCTTTGCCAGGGAGGACAAGTTGTAAAATTTCCATCATTCTCTGAAAACTTGAAGAAGCTCTGGAACAGCTGTCCCATCAGTTCTTTTACAACAGGTTTAAGAACGTTGCCGACGAGGTCATGTTGAGAAGATTCTCATCATCATTTCAATGGATTTATGAGCCTGAATGGGATTTGCCAGGTGTTACTTTGCGGCATGAGCCTGCCTTGCTTCTTCTGTGATCACGCTGGAAAACTTCTTCTGTGATCACACTTGTGGTTAGGTTAGGATCTGACTGGGACAGTAAGGGTTTTTAAGTATTATGGAAGTGCTTGCCATTTTACATCTTTAACCTCATGTCACGAGGCCTGGATTTTATATTCAAGATGTGTTTGAAGGCCTGGTGTACCATGATGCGGTTTCGAAGGGGGCATGGTAGTTAAGCTTTCATATGCAGCTTTTCATGTGGACTGTCGATTTGCGTCAAATGCTGTCTTAGAGACGGATGTCCTTTTAGTGGCCTCTTATCCCTAATTCGGACGTGAAGATGATTGTTGAGGACGCGGTCGAAAAGTGCTGACTCGTCTTCCCGGCACCTCAGGGGACGAATTTTCAAAAGACGCGGCGTAGGAGCAGAAGCTAATTATCGAATGGGGTAGGGTGGTTCAAATTCTAATCTCACTCTCTAAAGGATGAAAAGCATTTCTTCCTCGTTGATACTATACTGAAGTAGTTCCAAGGGTTTCCTTTAGGGAATGTCAATTCGTGGAAGAACCAGCTATTACATTTCATTCTACTTAACCGTGATAGGTATGATGTCATCATATGAGAGTTCGATGTTGAAGCAGGTGTTTTCCTTGGGGGTGCTTCATGACGGCTCTGCTCTAACTAAATTGCCTCTCTGAGCATCTCGTGATGAAAACAGTGTGCAGTGATGTCATGAGTGCTGTGAGAAATGAGGCTGTCCGTCCTCGACGAGCGAGTAGGCCGCCCGTAGACGTCGGCGCAGCTATCGATCGCCGCTCGCAGCTGATTGTTTGCGAGTCTGTATGTGTGCGTTTTGCCTAATGTTCAGCTTCGATACCTCCTATGAGGCTGGCGTAATTGAGATTGGTGCTCGGGAACTTTTGCTACATTAAAAAGCAATCGCTGCGTTGTTTGCTGTTCGAGTTTTTTCATCTGCCGTCAGGGGAGAGCGGGTTGGAGAGAGTGGGCGCTCTTCAGACGTGTAGCATTTTTTACCCCAGAAATTGGGCTAGCATCTTGTAGCAGTAGGTGTTGGATCGCCAACCGGCTTGGTCAACCTTACCCTGACCAGCCAGTGACTTGATAATTCCCTTTCATTTTTTATTTTCAATGCATCTAAAATGGATGTACTTTTCTAGGAATCACCTTCCGATTATTGTCCTTGCTTCCCTTGCCGCTTCAATTTTACGGCGTCGTCTATCGACGTGCCCGCACACCTCAGCCATATCTTGTTTCATTATCATCGTCGAGCTTTTACTGTAGCCTTCGTCTCTCATCTTTTGTTCCAGTTCTAGAAGCATTATAGTAGAAGGTTACGCTATCCCAAGTCCGGAACCTCTGTTCAAGGTTAGCTGAGAAACGAGTCTCCAATTTGCGAGGAGAGATAATTAAGTACCCAAAAATTCGCTATCGCTCATCTTTTTGCCATAATTTGTGGGTAATTAGTTTTTAACTTGGTCCATGCTTGTGTCGCACGTACTTTCTTTGCGTTTACATGGCTGGTTCCTCCCAACCTTGTTCCTGGCAGACCACTTCTTATACTTACTAATGGTGGATTGCCCCAAACGGCACGTTGGTGGAGTGAAATATTTCATGAGGCATTTGTTTTTGTCTTATCTCATCGACTGAAGCAACCTTGAAAACTTGTCTGGGAGTTATTCGTGAAGGGTGAATAACCTAGGGTAAAATGTGAATGCCGCGAACAGCACTCATTTCCAATCTTCCCTAATATATCGGACTTTGGCCATTGTTCGTTGATGTATCGTTCCATGTTGTTGGAAATGCTGATTTGAGAGTGATGCCAAAAGCAATCAATATCCCTACGTTTTACCTTCCTTGGGCCGTTCATCTCTCTGAACACGAATCGTAACCAGTTACAAAATCTTGCATACAATTTTTGCGTGATTCCTACTAGTTGGATGTTATAATCCTACTACACCTGCGAGATATTTCTTTTTTCCAGGTTATTGCAAAGCGATATGAATGCAACGATGTTCCGGGTTTTGTTCGGAAGCTGTACATTGTACGGGATAAGGCCAGAGAGCCTCGCGTGAACTCTCATATTGCGGTACTGACGTATCATTGGAAATCGGAACCGGCGATCGCCAAAGCGAACAGAGTAAATTTCATAAGTCTTTTCCTAAGGTTAAACTCATTGAGCTCAACGTTTTTTATTCAGGATGCTATAATTAGCAGGAAACAACGAGCAGAACAAGTCGAAGCAGAAGAAGGCCGTGCAATGTTGGAAAGTGCAGATCCATCGCCGCTTCGTTTGAAACGCCCAACTGGAATTAGTTTACGCGGTAATGGAAGGATATTGAGGCCCAAAGCAATTCGTGAGTACAAGTAAATTGCTCCCCATCCGATTTGTAGGGAAAGGGGTTTGGGTGTAAAATCATTCTCATGTGGATGTTATGGGATCTTTTTTAGCGATGATCCACGCGTTGTCACGAGTTCGTTTATCACATACGGATCATTTGCGCCGGCTTGCTCTCACGAAAAAATCTGAAAACCTTTGCCGTCTTGCTGCAATACTCGATCGAGCTGAACCCATTCTGGAGCGATTTGAACAGGTTTGTTTCAAGAAAGTATTTCTCAGAATACAATTTGTGAATATAGCTTTTTCTGGAATACGAGTAATTGAAAAATATTCTAAGGTTTTTAGTACTTTCTATCCAACTGTCACAATGGCCGACAGATCAACGACAACAACGCTATGTGGGTGGCGCAGCCATTAAACGATCAGCTTATTGAACGAGGAGGAGTTGTGAAGGCGACAGATCATGAAATGCAAGAATGTGTCATAGTGAACGAGCAGGGCGAGCCAATTGCGCTACCTCCCGGATGCGAGATTGTTTACGAAAGTTCCAGCTGATCTACTTGTTCATGTCGTGATGAGGACTGACTCACTTTTCATATTGCATCATGTTTCTGTACAGCTTTTATTTGTTGTTATTATCAGGTTCAATGAAGGTTCTGTCGTAAATGGGTTATACTGTGGTAGGCTCAGTGTTGATGCGCTGCTATATCGATTTGCTTCTGTGATTCATATAATTTGATCAATTTCTTTTGTTTTTAACGAGGCATTGTTTTCTGTTGGAGTATTTATACGTAATAGAGTATCTCGCATTCCAGGAGGCCATCGCGCTTTCATAGGATTTCCATAAGAAGATGACGACGCCCAGCAGACGACGACTTATGCGTGACTTCAAGAAACTTCAGGTGGGTTTTTTTGTACTTTGCAAACTTTTTTTTTAAATAGCCCTTTTCATTTGAAATCATTCCCTCACTTTTTGTTGTATATGTAAATCTGGTTTTTGATTTTTTTTGTGGCTATCATACGGAAGTTGTTATTCGGCGTTTGTGTGACTAATCGCGGCTCAGATATTTGTCGATCAGCCTACGTGCTGATCACTAAAGGCGGATAGTACGAAAAATTGTTCCCCATTAGAGCTGAAAATAGAGGTAGCAGTGGGTGCACTTACTTACTTACTTAGATACTTAGACGACCCGTCCATCAGCACGGCGGTTGGCCTTGCGCGGGTCCCAACTTCTTTTCCATTGTTCTCGATCTTGGGCTATGGTTGCACTGGTCACGAAAAATCTTGAGAGAAAGCGACCTAAGACCCGAGGATCGGTATCCCTTTTCCTGTTGATTTTTGCTTTGAACGTGGCAATGACCAAGACCCCAACATTTGCATGTGCTAATCCCGGTAACCGGTATCATGCGGACAAGCATATTCCTTGCCTTGATAAGCACAACCTAGAAAAGCTAAATGATGGCCGCAAAACATGAAATGCTCTTACGAAATGAAAAAGCAAAGTATACCAGACCATAGCAGGCGGCACTGTCTAAGGTTGGGGTTAGCTACATGGCGATGGTCGCGCCCTTTCACGGCGATGCATGTCTCTACTCACTTTTTCCAGGGCTCGCCGTCATTTTGCATTATGCATACTTTCTCTTCTCCAATATCATATTTTTCGTAACATCCTCCTTTAATCGGCTATGGTGATGTCTGGCAATGTGTGATTCAGCCTCTCCAATGCTAATGCATTGAAGAGGCTGAATCACACATTGTCAGACGGGGGAGGGGATTTTGAATTTTATTTTAACGATTCGTGACGATTCGACATTTTCTTAAAGATGATTGCACTCAAAGATTTGTTTAATTTTTCTAGGAGGACCCTCCTGCAGGTGTATCAGGGGCTCCAACGGAGGACAACATTCTTGCATGGGAAGCGATTATTTTCGGACCCCAAGACACCCCATTTGAAGACGGTACTTTCAAGGTAATATTTGATTCACATGTGAATGAAACGTTTTATGTTGTTATCCATTGTTGTCAATTCATTACTCTCCCATTGTTATTCATGGATTTAGCTGTCATTGGAATTTACTGAAGAGTACCCTAACAAACCACCAACGGTGAAGTTTATTTCGAAAATGTTCCACCCGAATGTGTATGCGGATGGATCGATTTGTTTGGACATCTTGCAGGTTAGTGCATTTTCTATAATGTATTTAAGCTGTAGTGTATATTTAATCAATTGAGATGATCGAATGTCGAATACGTTTTTGCGACATTTTTTCGTTCTAGTAGTTTTGCTTCTGTTTCAGAATCGCTGGTCGCCAACCTATGACGTCGCGGCGATTCTGACGTCTATACAATCGTTGCTGGACGAGCCAAATCCCAACTCTCCAGCAAACTCTCATGCTGCTCAGCTGTATCAGGAGAATCGCCGTGAATACGAGAAACGTGTTCAACAGATTGTTGAGCAGGTAAGAAGATATTGATGTATAGTGACTTTCTTCCCATTTGCAGTGTTAGTCGAAGCAATTGGTCACATAAAAGCGTGGTAGAATTACGCTTTCTTTTTTTCTAGTCGATTACAAGATTGTTTTTTTCCATATCTCGTAAGTGTCTTTACTTACATAATATTTGTTCGATTCAGTCATGGCTGAACTTTGGCGAGAATGAGGGTGATATGGAAGTGAAAGATGGTAATGACGATACGGGAAACAACGACGAAATGCCATCAGCTAGTGGATCAAACTAAATTAACTACTGCCCGACTCTTTAAAAAAGAATTTCGATTTGCGTTAATTCGTTCGTTCGTTTATATGCTCTCCTCTTCTCTCGCACTCTCCCAATCAATCGCACGTTCTCATCACCTCTACCTTTTTTTTAAATGTCGCAAAAATACGGTTTCTAGGGTGTGTGTTGTTCGCCCGCTTTTTTTTCGAAAATGTCGAGTCTTTAGTATTTTCATCATCTTCATCAATTATTTGAATGTATAGCGCCCAGTTTCCAGCCACCCTCATCCACTCCGTACATCAGGCAGTGCTGCTGCTCGCGCTGCGTCCAACTGAGTCATGTTTGATGCGGATGTTGTGAGCCGCCGCCGCCGTTTCCGCGTAATGAGACGGTAAACGATGAGGCCTACATCATCGTCATCCTCCTCCGTCATCTGCACTTACTTCGTCTGCCTTTATAGGTAATGTAATGGTCTCGACCGGTGCGCGTCCCAAAGCTTTGTAAGAAAACAATCAGTCAATATGTATGTAATAGGGTATCACTTTGGGATGTCACTGTGATTTTTGTAGGCTCCTCCTCCCTCCATCCTGTGCATTTGCGGCGCTTTCACGTCTGCTTTCCATCGCTCTGTTGTGATTGCAGTCGCGTTCGTTATCGCGCCTCATGTTGCGTTCGTTCGGTTTTCTCCCTCTCCTATTACCAGTGTACATAGTACCGGTTCAGGTGTAGATTTATTTCTGATGCAAGCATTCTCACTCTCGTTGAATTTCCCTAACCTGACTACTCCTGATACGGCTTATCGGTTTGCGAATAGAAGCGACCGCGCAATTCGTAGTCGACTTGTGAGCGTAGTACTTGCAAGCGCCCATTTGCTATCATAGCACTGATTTCTCTCGTCTTTTTCTCAGTTATTGAAGGTTTATATTCTATCCGTGTGGTTTCCTTAATATTTAGTCAACCAAAAGAGTGTTATGCTCAACACAGTCGTTGACGGATTGGTGGTTTGTTCATTCTTCGCTGCCGACCTCGCGAATGTCTCGAGAAGAACCAACTGCTTCCGTTCATCCCCTCATGCAAGTCATATGTCATACAGTGTGTTATGAGATTATTGTGATGAATAAAGAGTTGGTTTAATGTGTTCAAAATGTAAATCTACGAAAAAGGTCTGCGCCTATAACTCTCGTAGGAAGTAGTGAATATTCATGAAAATGAGATTCGATTGGTAGTTTAGGCGCACGCGCGGTTCAAAACAGTTGTTGGCCTGGAGTACAATCTCTATAAGGATAAAAGAATTAGTCGTTGCCAATACTTTCCTAGAGTGCGCCAGATCCGAGGGATTTGATTTTTGCGTGCGGATTTAGCCTATGTAATGAGTTTCGCAGTCTCGGGCTTTCGTAAAAAATCACTGATCCTCCAGGATGAATATGATATTGTAGTCGGAGGGGTAGTATGTTTGTTATCTGAGGAATATAGGTCGACTCTGCGACACCTTTGCCTTGTTTAGCAATGTATGTGCAATTTTTGAGAGGCTGATGGTGGATGTTGGCCGTAAAAATAACTTGTGGAAAATCGAAAAATATGCTGAATTGATCGGAGAAGTATTAAGAGCTTGTTATGGCTAGAAAGCTGCGACAAAAGGGCATCTAGGGTGTCGCAGTGCGGCTACAACTTGTTAGGAACGGAATTAAGTGCGTTAGCTCGTAATGATCGTTAGAGTCGTTTGCTAGCCTAAACTTGTCGTTGCTATCCAACTTAGGGGGCGATGAAGGTCCTTTTGAAGTTTGCTTTTTTTGAATTAGTATCTCTTAGCGTTCTGCTGTGCTGGATGTTTTATGTAAACGAATTACTTACGTTCTCATGGGGTTAAGGAAACCAAGAAGACTTGAAGGTGTTCCGTCCGTCTGGGGGAATGGTAGTTTACGGCACTTGGTGTTCCTACTTCATGATGGTGTAGGTATTCATCCTCTTGCATTCCAATGAGGCATCTGATATGGCTCACCACGGACTCCGAAGGCAGTTTTGTGTAGATGATGGCGTTGACGTGAGGGTGGTAATGCATGGTACGTCAGGGTGAAAAAGGGAACGATCAAGACCAGAGGATCTCTTATGTTATTATTAGATGTTTCATCGCTTTGCGGGGTGAGGCGGGAGATTTCTGGATGTCGCGTGTGGCTCCTTTTTTAGTTGGACTACCGCTTTCGATCCGAGCGCTTTGGCGCTTGGGCCTTCAGATCCGAGGTCCGCTCGCTGCGGGGTCGCCCAGCGCTTTCAGAGCCACCCAAGCATTCAATCCCCTGCGCAAGGGTGTCGCGTCTCATTGGGAGCTACCAGTAAGATTGTCTGGGAGGATAAAAAACACTGACTTGAACATCGGCTGGCCCCCGCAAGTCATTGTATAGGCCACATCGCATTCAAACGCCACTACGAATGTACAAATGGAAGTAGAATGCGTGCCGCATCCCAAAGGGATTGATCAACGGCAAATGCTTTATGCTTTTTTTATCGATTTAGGGAAGGCGAGTTGACCGCTGATGTAGAGGTCGTTTGGTGGAGGTAAAACAATACCCCCAGCAAATTTCTGTAGTCACAGCCGGCTCGATAGGCGAAGTTGTGATGGCCGATGCAGAATTGAAATGAACCAAACACCGCCAGTGATCGCTTACGGGTCCATCTTTCTCCCTGTTTGGATGAGGGAGGGTGGAGCGGGACGGAGTTTCTGAGCTGCTTGCTTCACGGCTCCTTACTCCGCGTATTGGACAAGCCGAAAGACGTGAGTCATGCTGCGTCTGCTGGTGTACGCGAGGTTCTCGTCATAAGTTATGATGGTGCCTTTGAGTTTCACTTTGTAGAGCCCTACGCCATTGGCTACTTCAAGCGCAATGGCATTTGGATTCTGCGGGCCGGTAAGGTTGCTTCCGAAGGGTTAGGGGAGAGTTCTTTAATGTTGCTGTAGTCCACTGGGTTGTCTGATAGGGACCTATTGATTTATGTGTTGTAGCTTGAAAGTAAGCTGCATTGGAAATAAGAACAGGATCGTTCAAACAAAAATTTAAGGACTTTCGTCCCAAGAGCCCACCACCACAACCCCGAGCCGAACGGGCCACGCAAAGCCCCGACAAGTTATTCGGGGAAGCTACTTACGGCCCTGGTGCTACTGTGGCTATTCTATCCATCCATTGATAGTTCTTCGACAACGACTTCTTGCCTAGGTTGTTGCTTTAAACGCCTGTATAAGGCAGATCGATAGCAGCTTGATCTTTGGTGCACTTATTATAATACTATTTATCTCTACGGCTGACTTGTGTGAGAGCGTTACGGGTTTTGGGTCACTTGGCGCATATCAGTATGTCGGCTAGGGAGCGCAACTCCACTGGTAAACTTGACCCTCTACACTTCTCTTGCACGAACTCGTTTTATCGCGAGTTTAGCTTTGATTAAATGAGGGATCCTAGGCTGTGCAGAACCGCTGGTGCACACGCTAGAGTGTCAATGTTTCTTGGGCATAAGCGAAATGGATTAGCGGAGTCTATGGCGTTAGGCAGAAATAGCGCAAAATACTACTCGCATGGTCCTCGCATGGTCAAATCTTAAATCAAGTTTTCTCCAAGGCTATCCAAGCATTCAATCCGACCAGGTTGGCTAAAAGGTGTTAGACACTCTGGGGGGATAAAAACGTGGCTTGTACGTTGGTGGAGATCCTCGTGTAAACCGTATTCCATTCGATTTGAGTGTAATGATAGGGTCGGAATGTGTGACGCTCCAAGGAATAGGTGATTCTAATCTTATTTTTCAGCGTTTAAGGGTATAACTCAGTGGACGTATTCAAGTTCCGTTCACGGTTTTGATTCTCACTGTCCTTTTGTGACTAACGTATTCAGCTACAGGATTTTTTAAGGCGCAAACGTTTGGATTTTGATGATGAGGTATTGAGTTAGCGCATGCGTTTACACAGCATGGCGATGCTGCTGAGAAGAAATAAATAGCTGCTGCGAAATCTTTTTACATTGTCCTCAGTAGTTCAAATGCAACTCAGGTATGTGAATCGGCTCGAATGAACAATGGCGGACAATTTTCGAAAGAATCTGATCTCGAAATGTATTCGAGACAGCGGCACAGGAGAGCTGGATGTCGATATTTTGAACGAGGTAAGGTCACGTTTTTGGATGTGAGCTATGTTGTTTATTGCCGGGGAAAAATTTTAAGACAGTGTGACTGTAATGCTTTACGTTCGTAGCATCGAAATTGCGTTCCATAGCTTTGGCGATTAGTCGTACTATCTAAGTTTCTGCTCAACGTGCTCTTAATAACTTTCTAGACACGCGTACCCAATATAGGGAATCGGGTAAACTTTATCCAGCAGGAATTCAAATCAGCGAATTGAATCCCGCTCCTTCGAGCACAGTATAGGCGCATTTGGAACGCAGTCGTGATATAATAAGCCAAAGAAGAGTTGTGGAATGACTACAGTTTATAGTGGCTGTTGACCTTAAAGGGGCGGGTCACGATCGAATCGTTCCTTTCTTTTAAAATCGATCAAGGAGAGTGAGAGAGACCTTTTGGGAAAGAAGCGAAAATCATCATAGAAACGGAAGATTTTCTGATGAGATTCTCCGTGGTACGACGGAGAGACACATCGGTGCGAGGAGAGGGAAACGTGAGAGGTCAAGCAAAGTCTTGGCTTCCCTGTCGCGCACTTTTATCGTGATCCGTGCCTTCAAAGGCGGAGTTTACGATGAAGGGGCAGCCCATCAGAAGTCAAAGTAGGGTGGTCAGTGGTGCAGGGATGAAGAAAAAACCATGAGAAACGGCCCAGAACCCGAGAAATGGGACCCTTCTTGCCCGTTGATTTCCGCATTGATGCGACTCTCATCGTGCTGCCCTCTTCAACGCTAACGCTCTCTCTGCTAAACGGCTGGAGGCTCAGGCGGCTAGAAGGTGGGCGTGCTCCGGTGTCGGCTCATACCCTTAAACGGTCCAACTATCCTTCCACTAGGTGGGTTTCCTCTTCTTCGACCTCCGATCTTATCGTGGAATCCTCCTTTATGAGGTAAAGACTTTTCTGTGCGACACGCCGACTCACATTAGGCTACTGCGCACCAACTCGCTCTCAGTTCATAGTGGTCAAAATTTTATGAAAGTTACACAGCTCGCAAGGTTGATGTCGAAGTGGAGGAGGATCGGCTATCAGGGATCAAGGAAGGATCATTCCTGCATGAATCCTTATCAAAAACGCAACTTTCGTGAATTTTTTCTTTTTTTCTGAATTTTAATTGATACATTGTTCGAAAGCGGAAGGTATTCATTGAAATAAGATTTTGTTGTTGAAGGTAATGAATGGAACATCAGACATCGATGTGGTTCGATTACGCACATACGCTTGGCGTCATACGATTCCAAATGTGCACCGATTGCAAATGTATAAATACATGCTTGGAATTTCTGGCGCCTATCCAGAAACACGTGAAGTTGTTGCACAGCACAGAAGAGAAGAAGTAGGTGACTGTCGTCTTTGAGTGTGATTATTTTACAATTCTAAGACGAAGCTAAAGGCATTGATTACGACGCCAAGAGGACGTTACGGCTTCGATGGCGTCATTGAATGTCATCATTATACTTGACCCCTCACACTGAGAGCAGGGTCAACCGTCTATTTGAACCATTCAAACGCGGGAGATCGTACTTATGATTGAGCCAAGTTGAAGGAATCTTTCCCGAAAACTTCTTGCATTCTTTCCCAATAGAATGGTTCAGTTGTGACCACTTGAGACAACACACAAAGTTCCACCCACGAAATCTAGTTTCGAAATTTACGGAACCACATTATGGGGATAGCAGAAGGTAGGTCGCACGGCGCCAAAGGGGGAGGGCATGGAAAGAAGTGGCCTTGGGGCGGCTACGTATCAGGCGACGCAATGAAAGAATCGGGTTAAAGCGTTCGATTTTGGAGAATAGAGACAAAACGATCGATAGAATAGGATGCAGTAGAAGTGTGAGATGTATGCAATAAGTCAAAAAGAGTTTCTAGTGACAGCACTCCGTGAACCAAGTGGAAGCGTTCCCGCCGCCAGCATTTGTGACAGATGTCCGGCGGGAATTTGAACACCTCCAATTTTCCGAATTGTTCACCAAAACAAATGCAGTTTTTTTGTTCTTTTCTTTCTTGTCGTATACGATGGGTTTCGGATCAGTGATTTTTTTGGCAGGATAAAATCATGATTTTTCCGGGAAAGATTCCTTTAGCCATCTTTTGGAAAAACGGGTAGTCGTATCTTTGGTGAGAGGGGTCGTTTGATGGGTTTTCCTGTCTATTTTGGCGAAAACAACATGAATGGAACTACTACTCCAATAAACATGGCCTCTCCCCCTCGCACTACCGCCATTTAGGAGAGAAAAGTGGGGAAGTTGGAGCGTGTTGACTGGTCCCAGAATTGGTCTCACCTCACCATTAGAGAATCAAGCACAGTCATATCCATGGTGGTGAGGTAGTGGTTGGGTGAGGGAAGGGGTCATATTGGAGGACCCCCCTAAGACTGATGATGGTGGAGGGGTCCTACCTCCCCCTGGTATTGGGATCGTAAACTTCTTGAAAGTGTGAATGTGACGTTTGACCTTGACTGGGAGTCTGTTTGGAGCCGCTTCTTGGCGCCCGTCCACCAATCCGCAGCAGAGCCCAGGCTGCTCTTCCCCGGCTTAGACTTTGGTTGTTTCTTTTTTCACAGACACACTACTTTTCACCTCTACCTTTTCACTTATTCATATTTCACTGGCATCAGCTTTTCTCCAGTTTTGCCTTCAAAGCAAAAGGTAAAGCATTTGGTGTTGATGGATCACGGTAGGTGACGCTTCAAGTATTCTAGTTCCGTTCAGATCCGTAGTGGTATTTGAATGCGATTCAACCTCATGACGGGGTGGGACGATATACAAGTCAGTATTTTAGTCCTCCCAGACACCAGGTCTAGTACCACTTGGCCTCCACCGAAGGAATGGAGGGTTGATTGATGTAAAGGGGGTACGATCCGGGACTCGACCCCCGGGCCGTACGCCTTCAAGCAGTGCTACTCGCCACTGTGCCACTCCCACTCTTGAATATGAAGTTAATTTTGCAAATGGTGTATGTGATTATTTATCAGTGCTCGATTTTTCCTCATAATTTATTTTATTGAAGGCAGTGCTACTGCTGAGGTGTTTGGTCACAACTCGTTCAACTGACTATAAAATGGTCGACGGTCAGGTGACGGAACCAGGACCGACCAATGACGATGTTACGAAAATGATCCTTCTTGCCAACAACCGTTTGACTGAAAATTATATGAGGGACCCACAAACAGCAGTCATATCGGCGGTTAGTCTGTCGGATTTTTTAGATGAATCTTCTCATTACAAGCGCAGTTTGGAATGTCAATTCTATAGAATGATGACTGACGAAGTACAACACGCGTTAAAAAAGGATATCTGAAAACTGAGGAATTCAAGCATGCGATGGCGGAAGCGAGTTGATCCTCACCTTGAAAGGTGCGGTGCGGTTATGCAAAAAATCGCCCTGTAGCCAGTATGTTCAGGGAAGTAGACGATGAACGCTTTGTAGGATTCTGGAAGAAGTCCACGCTGTTTCAAACAATAAGCGACGCTCTCATTAATATGTGGCCGAGAAAAACCGTCCGAAAGCTTGCGTTGCGCCTAATGAACCGCTGCCTTGAGGGTGGGTGGTGGTGATATATTATAGTAAGTTGGATGCTGAAGGAGGGGGAATCTTCCTACTAGAAGGAGGACTGAGGGCGAGAGCTGACGCTTTCATGGCAGAAATGTGGGACCGCATCGACTTAGCGAAGCTCTGATTATCGTCGTCATCAGCACCTGAGTGGGTGAATGAAATAGAAGCGTATTGGATGCTGGCATTGTCATGGTATTATCGTCGTTCGTTTTTTTTTTCAATTTTGGAACTTTAACCTCATTTCCCTTCAGGCCATTTATCTTGTCTATGTAAGACGTTATCAATCAAAGCGTGATTGTTGTTGCAGTGTATCTTGATTAAGACATACTAGGCACCAGGGTGAATAACGGTCGAGGAATTTCCTCGACCATAGCTCTCTACCATGCGAGAGTAGTGCCGAGAGTGAACATCCGCGCGGAGAGCACAGACGGCACGGCATGGCGAGTGTGAATGTCCGCGCGAGAGATCGTGTCTGATCGGGCAGAGAATCCTCGACGTGCCGTTGAGGAATCCTCAAGCGATATTCACCCTGCTAGGCACTGCCTTGGCACTAATTTGTCCAAAAGGGAAATCAAGGATGTGGTCCCCTTCCATAGGCTTTGGAAGGTTCCCTTAGTTTTTTCTTCGCCACTGCACCGTTTACCACCTCCAACTTGATTTTCAAAAAAGACCAATTTATCGCACCATGTGTTTGTAAGAGGCATTTCAAAGAATTACCGTACCGATCCTCCTTTTAACCGATTTAGTTCCTTCTCTTGAAATTTCAAGGTATTCTTTCAGATAGTGAAACAAGTAAGAACGGTATGTCGATGTGATTGGGTAGACGCATTCTGTATTGCGCGGTCACTTTATTCAATGCTCAACCTAAAATTCGATGAACGAACAATACGCAGCACTATCAAAGAGGTAACGATGAATAAGAACTTTTTTTTTTCTGTTCAGCTTTTTTGTAGGTTTTAGGTCCTTAGGGACTGAAATACAACAGCGCCCACTTCACTTATTCCACTTTGCTCTACCGATCAGTGAGTGCCTAAAAGAAGAACTCTTGAACGGCACAATACCAATGCCCAATTCAAAGCGCAATGCTAATGGAGTGGAATAAAGTGTGAAAATAGCCTTAGACAACGTTTCCACTCTGCTAACCTGCAGATGTCCAGGGTCAACCGTCGCATTCTTTTCCAAAAATTCACGACCCCCACTACCACATCGGCCTGAAAGGGTCTCCCATACAACCCCTGGCTGCTATCCTCGCCATCATCTCTCTCTCTATAATAATTTGATTTTGACACCAGAGTCAGCGGACGAGTCGCAGCGTGTGCGACGTAGAACGTATAATGGCATATTCTATTTAACTTGACGCAAAATCGCTATATGACGCGCCGCGTCCGCTGACTCTGCCTTCTTGCCGCGCGGCGGGCCTCCTGTCGGGTCACTAAGTCAGCAGTCTTGCCGCAGTCTGCTGTCAGTGGTTCTTCACTTACCTGGAAGCCAGCCTGTATCTGCTATTCTTGGCTGTTGACGCTATTCCATCACTTGGCTCAGTGTGACAGTCGCGGAGCTATTAATCTTTACCGCCCTTGCTGCCTGAAGATGTAAGAACGTTCAGGTGGTTTGACTCACAGAAGCACTCAGGATCAGGGTGAACCGTTATTGGACAAAGTCCAACGAGGGGGTCGTATTCGGCCGACGGAAAGGGGGTCGTATTCGCAAGGTCGGAGGCAGCGTCAATTCTACACCAACGGGGGTCGTAGTG